ATCTGCATCTGAGGGGAAGCAGCAACTTCCCTATGAGGAAAGCTTGGGGTATTGTTTGGGTTTTTTTGTTGGGGGTTATTGCTGTCGTCAATGTTAATTTTTCATATCTTCATTTTGGATCTTACAATTTCTGTGGAACTTTTTCAGTTTGGTTGTATACTTTTTAAAATGTTTTATTTATTGTTCTTGACTGCTTTTGTTGCATTTGCAGTCGTGCGATTTTTTAAATATATGTTGTAAGCCGCCTTGCGCATGGCGTGAACTTTGGAAAGGCGGATTACAAATAAATGATTGATTGACTGAAGGTTGTAGCATTAGTTTAGAGAAAAGAGGTGGCAACATGACAGTTTTTTAAAAAAATCACATGGAGAAAGTGCGTAGAGAAAAGCTATTCCCCCTGTCTCCTAACACGAGAACTCGCCCTCGAATCCCATGAAGTGGAATGCTGGAATATTGAGGGCGGATAAAAAAAAAGTCTTCTTCACTCAGAACCTAGTTAAATGATGGAACTCGCTCCCATAGGAGGCGGTGATGGCCTCCAAATTGGATGGCTTTAAAAGAGATTGAGCGATATCCATGGAGGAGAAAGCTCTCCATGGCTGCTAGCCATGATGGCAGTTCTCTGCCTCCATAATCAGAGGCAGTTATGCTTCTGTTTGCCAGTTTCTGGGAGTCACAGGGCTGTTGTGCTTGCATCCTGCTTATGAGTTTCCCAGAGGTCTCTTATTGACCACTGTGAGATGCAGATGCTTGACTACATGGGAGATCAACAGACTCTTCTTATGCTCTTAAACAGGGGTCAGCAAACTTTTTCAGCAGGGGGCCGGTCCACTGTCCCTCAGACCTTGTGGGGGGGTCGGACTATATTTTTTGGGGGGGAAATGAACGAATTCCTATGCCCCACAAATAACCCAGAGATGCATTTTAAATAAAAGGACACATTCTACTCATGTAAAAACACGCTGATTCCCGGACCGTCGGTGGGCCGGATTTAGAAGGCGATTGGGCTGCATCCAGCCCCTGGGCCTTAGTTTGCCTACTCATGCTCTTAAACATATTAAACAGCACGTGCAAACCTCGGTCTTCTTTTGTCCACATTTTCAGTGATGCATAAGTGGCCACCCATCCTGGGCTTTGCTTTCCCAATCCTACCTGGGGATTGAAACTGGGACTTTATTCATGGCTACAGCCTTAAAAAAGAAAAACGAAGCATTTGCCTCTAAAGAGACTGACCAGCTTTGTACTAAATCCAAGAGCTGGTGGTTGGTGTGTGTGTGTCCCGCCCCCCCAAAGTTTGGTGTTTGATCTCTTCTCTGGATGCAGGGTTTAGTTTTTATTTTTCTTCACACATAACACCCTTCCAAGAGTCAGATTCAGATTACACACTTGACAGTAGCCAGGCAACGTTTAAGCCACTTTCCTCCTCACCCACTGTCAGGATCCTGGCCAACAGGTTCTAACCCAACTGGCTGTGGGCCTGCCAATTACAGTCATGTGGTGCCAGTGGAGATTCTTCTTGTAAATCAGCTGGAGGGGCGAGGCAGTTACTGGATCATATTGGCTAGCACGGAGGTATAATAGCCAAGGAAGAAATCTGCTTCCAAAAGCTGGTATAAGCAAGTGGGAGGACAGGAGACCATTCCCTCCAACATCTGTCAGATTAAAAAAAGGGGTGGGATATTCCATAATAATAATAATTTATTATTTATACCCCACCTATCATGACTGGGTTGCCCCAGCATTAAACATTTTAAAAAAACCTCCCCTATGCAGGGCTGCCTTCAGGTGTCTTCTAAAGGTTGCATAGGTACTTATTTCCTTGGCTGCGGGAGGGGGGGGTCACATAACTCCATACCCTCTGATGAAAATAGGGACGTCCTACCATGCCCCCCAATATTTCTCTGATGAAAATAGGGACATCTTAAGGAAAAACGGGACATTCTGGGATCAAATCAGAAACTGGGACAGCTTCTGTATATCTGGGACTGTCCCTCGAAAATAGGGACACTTGGAGGGTCCGAGAGACACCAGGAGTTGGACCTAGGACATTCTGTGCGGAAAGCAGATCTTCCACCACTGAGCTACAAACACAGCTGATGCAAACAGGAAGCTGCCTTAGAGAAGAAGAGTTTGGCTTTGATATCCCGCTTTATCACTACCCTAAGGAGTCTCAAAGCGGCTCACAATCTCCTTTCCCTTCCTCCCCCACAACAAACACTCTGTGAGGTGAGTGGGGCTAAGAGAAGTGTGACTAGCCCAAGGTCACCCAGCAGCTGCATGTGGAGGAGCGGAGATGCGAACCCGATTCACCAGATTACAAATCTACCGCTCTTTAACCACTACACTACACGGAGTCCGTCTATTGGTCCAGCCTACTCAGTATTGCCTACACGGCCAACTCCTAGGGGCCAAGAGGTCTTCGGGGGGCCCCAGTAAAATATTTGAGGCGGCTGCCGCCCCCAAAAGTTGATGGGCATTCTCATTCAAATGGTGTGTGTGCACAGCATCATGTGATTGATTATGCAGGGTGGGGCTTACCTGGGCCTCCAAATCTTTTATTCAACTTGGCTCTCATGTTCCCAGACCTTCCCAGGAATGCTGCCAGGGACTGAACCTGCAACTTTCTGCATGCAAAGTAGATGCTCTGCCGCTTGAGCTCTGGTCCTTTCTCATGGAGGTATTAGGGAGGGGCTCAAAGGGAGAGATACGCAAGTGGCAAAGCAGGTTAGGAAGGACATGAACCACAGGCACTGGGTTGTCCCCAAGCTTTAAGGGGCACGTGTGACATCACACTTGCAACATGTGATGTCACACACACCTCCTGACACCATGCTGGCCGGAGAAGCCTTCTGCTAGCTGCAGGAAGACCTGATGGGGCTCAGCAGACCTTGGAAAATTGATGAGGCCCTTGGGGGGGAAATGGGGGGGCCTCGGCCTCCCCCAATTGGTGCCCCTGACATGAACCCACTGGGAGCACTTTGCCCTCCAGACCTGGAACCAGCTCATGTTGCATGCATAGATTGTAAGCATTTACAGAACGCAAGTCTTTTTATGTTTTTCTGCAGATCCACACCATGCATTTAAAGACTAGTGCACATTTAAAGCACCCCACCCCATGCAAATCTTGGGAACTGTAGTTTGCGAAAGGTGCTGGCAATGACAGCTCTGTGAGGTGGGGGGGGGGACACAGTCCCTGGGATTCTTTGGAGGAAATAACTCCAAATGTCTCAACTGTGGGCTGAATCTGCTTTGAAAATCCAGTGCGGATCTGTCTTTTGTCTTACGTGTTGTGGGGGGAGGCATTGTTCTCTTGCCAGTTCATAAACCTCTGCTGAGGAGCATGCCACCCTTTTTGACATCATTCCCAAGCGTTTTGTTGTGATATGCCAGAGAGGAACATTTGAGGTGGGGATGAAGTTTTAAAATCCTGGTTACACCTTTTCTCCGGGCGGTTTGCCTTGCTGTCATTTTACAACATCACAGGGAGTCCCAGACAGCTTGTCTCCACCGTCTTTGGCTGGTTTGGGGCCGAGCAGCTAAATGCTGAACCATTAATAACAATCAATAGACGTTTTCTCCCTCCGAGTGACAGGTGTCCCTGCTCACAGCTGCATTTTGGCTGCCTTGTAGTTTGCTTAAGAATCCACCGGCATGTTTGGAGAGAAAGCAAATGGAATGATAATAACCTCTGATTTCCATTACTGGAGGATCAGAGAACTGGGGGTGGGAGCGGTGTTTTGAGCATGTTATATAAGGAGCCAGAGTGGAGTAGTGGTTAAAATGTCAGACTAGGGCCTGGGAGACTAGGGTTCAAATCCCCACTCGACCACAAAGCTCACTTTGTGTGACCCTGGGCCGGTCACTGCCTCTCTCAGTCTAACCTACCTCACAGGGCTGTTGTGGGAATTAAATCATAGAATCGTATCCCAGCTAAAGCATCCATGACATATGACCATCCAACCTCTGCTTTAAAACCTATTATTATTATTATTATTATTATTATTATTATTATTAAACCCCTCCATCTGGCTGGGTTTCCCCAGCCACTCTGGGCAGCTCCCAACATAATAATAATAATAAGACTTGACATCTTTCCGCAGGGCCTGCAAGACAGAGCTGTTCCGCCAAGACACAGTCTGACCCCTTCTCTCCTTCTGTAATCCTCATAAAACTCTAACCCGATGGTTGCCATTAATTTGAGTCTGAACTGATTCTAGAATGTATTTTAATTAATTGATTGTGCAATTTTATGTACACTGTGGTATTTTTACCTGTTGTTAGCTCTGAGCGCGGCTTTGGCAGGGGAAGGCAGGATACAAATAAAATATTATTATTAGTAGCAGTAGTAGTAGTAGATAAAATATCAAACATTAAAAACTTCCCTAAACAGGGCTGCCTTCAGATGTCTTCTAAAGTCAGGTAGTGGTTTATTTCCTTGATATTTGATGGGAGGGCGTTCCACAGGGCGGGCGCCACTACTGAGAAGGCCCTCTGCTTGGTTCCCTGTAGCTTCAATTTTCACAGTGAGGGAACCGCCAGAAGGCCCTTGGAGCTGGACCTCAGTGTCTGGGTAGAATGATGGGGATGGAGATGCTCCTTCAGGTATACTGGGCCTCCAAGGGAGACTGTCCCACTTTCTAACACCTGTTACTGCCAGAAGGTTTTTCCATACGTTTAGTCGGAATCTCCTTTCTTGTAACTTGAAGTCAACGGTTCGAGTCCTACCCTCTGGAGCAGGGGAAAACAAGCTCATTCCCCACCTGCTTTACCTGGCGGGATGATCCATCATCCCAGGATGGAGAACAAGAAGTCAAGGGGCTTCTGTGCTTGTTGTGTGAGAGAGAGTTTTATCTGATGCTAGCTAAGGCCAGAAGCTGGAGACTCTGAGGCTTGCCTTGCTCTGTGCTGGATCCAAGAGCTGTGGCTTGGAGCTTCCCTGGAAACCTAATGAGGAAGAAAGATCTGTTGGTGTGTTGATGCTGAGAGTCTCTCCGTCCTGTGCTCAGGTTGTATATATTAGTTCAGTCAGTGGGGCTTGAGACTCTTAATCTCAGGACCGTGAGTTTGAGCCCCATGTTGGGCAAAAGGATTTCAGCATTGCAAGGGCTTGGACCAGATGACCTCGTGGTCCCTTCTGCCTCTACATTTCTATATGTGTAAATATGTGGGGCGCGGGTGGCACTGTGGGTTAAACGCAGAGCCTAGGACTTGCTGATCAGAAGGTCGGCAGTTCGAATCCCCGCAACGGGGAGAGCTCCCATTGCTCGGTCCCTGCTCCTGCCAACCTAGCAGTTCGAAAGCACGTCAAAGTGCAAGTAGATAAATAGGTACCGCTCCGACGGGAAGATAAACGGCGTTTCCGTGCACTACTCTGGTTCACCAGAAGTGGCTTAGTCATGCTGGCCACATGACCCGGAAGCTGTACACCGGCTCCCTCGGCCAATAAAGCGAGATGAGCGCCGCAACTCCAGAGTCGGCCACAACTGGACCTAATGGTCAGGGATCCCTTCACCTTTACCTTTATATGTGTAAATAAAACCATATACCCTAAAGACATCACTATCTCCACTGGCTTTCATTCCAGGAAAGAGAAGAAAACCCCAGAGTCTCTTGCTGCTCAAAGATTGGAGAGCCTGCAACAATATTTCTATTTAAATTACAGCAATGATTTCTAAATTTACATCTATACATTTAAACTAACATGTGCAAATAATTGGTTTTTTGTTTTTACTATATGGAAGCCACCGTTCTACTTCCACAGGAGCTCAGAAATTCAGCTTATGTGAGAATCTAATAACTTTAACAGGAGAGCCAAGCCTTTCAGCCCTATGGCTGCTGAGATCTCAGAGAGGGTACTGATAGGGCTGATGGGACTCATCACCTAAAACATCTGGAGAACATCAGGTTGGCCATAACTGGTTTGCTCATGGCTTTTGAAGAGATGAAAGAAGCTCTGTAGAAGTTGGCCAACTCTGATCAATACTTGCATTGCGACTTCACCTTTCCACTCAGACCTCAGCATGTCGAAAGAATTCAGCCCAGCCAGGACAGTGTGGCAGAATCCTATGATGCAATGTGGGGTGAAGCTGTAAATTGTGAGAATAGAACAGCGAAATCCTGGAATGAGAGATTTATGAGCAGGGCGCAGTTGCCGTTCTTTACTCAGAACTCGAAATTCATCATTGCTGGATGAATAATCAAGAGGGTGCCATCCTCTGATCAGTTCTTATCCAGCTCCTTGCCTTCAATTTAGTTAGATGGTCATGTTCCTTCACAATTTGGGATTGGTGTAAACCACCCATGGAAAATCTGTGGCCCTCGTGGGTCTCTCAAGTGGCCCCTCAAATGTCCCCCATGGCTGATGGTGCTGTTCCTTATGAGGAGCAGTTGAATAAGTTGGGCATGTTTAGCCTAGAGAAGACTAAAAGGTGACATGATAGCCATCTTAAAATATCTGAAGGGCTGCTACATGGAAGGTGGAGCAAGCTTGTTTTCTGGTTCTCTAGAAGGAAGGACCTGAACAGATGGATTCAAATCACAAGAAAGGAGATCTGGAAGAACTTTCTGATGGTAGAAGCTGCTCAACAGTGGAATGGACTACCTTGGAAGATGGTGGACTCTCCTTCCCTAGAGGTTTTTCAACAGAGGTTGGAAGGCCGTCCTTCAGAGATTCTTTAGCTGTGATTCCTGGATGGCACAGACCTAGACTAGATGGCCATTTGGTCCCTTCCAACTACAATTCTATGATTCTATGGATTTAGCCCCCTTCATTCCCTGCACAGAGCTACAATTGCTCTCACAGAGCCACAATTCTCAGACTTCCCTGTGAAGAGGGACTGACCACGCAGGGAATTGCAGCTCTGCAAGGGGAATGAGGATCTCCTAGCAATAATATAATAATAACAATAATAATTTATTATTTATACCCTGCCCATCTGGCTGGGTTTCCCCAGCCACTCTGGGCGGCTCCCAACAGAATATTAAAAACATAATAAAACATCAAACATTAAAAACTTCCCTAAACAGGGCTCCCTTCAGATGTCTTCTAAAAGTCAGATTGTTGTTTATTTCCTTGGCATCTGATGGGGGGCATTCCACAGGGTGGGTGCCACCACTGAGAAGGCCCTCTGCCTGGTTCCTTGCAACCTCACTTCTCGCAGTGAGGAAAGTGCCAGAAGGCCCTTGGAGCTGGACCTCAGTGTCTGGGCAGAATGATGGGGGTGGAGACGCTCCTTCAGGTACACTGTGCCGAGGCCATTTAGGGCTTTAAAGATCAGCACCAACACTTTGAATTGTGCTTGGAAACGTACTGGGAGCCAATGAAGGTCTTTCACGACTGGTGTTATGTGGTCTCGGCGGCCGCTCCCAGTCACCAGTCTAGCTGCTGCATTATGGATTAATTGTAGTTTCTGGGTCACCTTCAAAGGTAGCCCCACGTAGAGCGTATTGCTGTAATCGCAGCACCCTTAACAAACTACCAGGGTGCTTTGGGGGACACCATGACTGTTAAAGTGGCATAACAGCATTTTAAAGGTATGGTGTGGATGTGACTTCAGGTAAGTTTTATAGCATGGGTGTCATGGGTGGCTCCTTCTAATCCTGTGAAACGTATTCTGGGAACTGTCTGTTTGACGCTCCTAGCCTTGCCTCTAAGCATTATAATTCCCAGGAGTCCCTGGGAAGGAGTGATTATCAAATCAGTTTTACATATGTAGCATGGCTGTGGTCAAAAGGATAAATTCAAGAAGCCCAATGCAAGTTCTCGCACCGCCCAGTTCTGATCTATCTGTGGGTCAATTTTAAGTGCTGACCAAGCTGCTAACTGGGGCTAGGGAACCACCCACCCCCCACTCCTCTAGGTAGTGCTCCATATTAAAAAAAATTAAAAGAAAGAATGAAAAGAAGGGGGGGAGAAAAGAGCAGAGCAGCACAAAAAGAAGCAGGAAGGCAAGGCTTTATGACAAGTGTTTTATAGAGCACCTATAAAAAGAAAATGCGTTTCACATATTTCATTAGAAAAAATTATGTGTGAATTTTATATGAACGCTTTCCTTGTTAAACATTTGTGTGATCCCTGAGTTCGACTATATAAAACAGGGTGCAGGGCAACTATGAACAAGTTTATTTAACCCTCTTGAGCTTCTATTGACATCAGCAGACAAGCCATACCTGGTTTCCCTCAGTTGCCATACAACTGCAAGCGCACCGTAGCTCTAAGGCACACACACACCCCAAGAAGCCTGGGAACTGTGGCCTTCCCCTCACAGAACTACAATTCCCAGCACCCCCCTTAACAAACTAGAGTTCCTGGGATTCTTGGGAGGGGAGTGCTTTGAATGTGCTGTGTATGTCAGCAGGACCCTGGTGGTGGTTAGTGCCATGACGGGACATTGTGGAGAAGATGGTTGAACCAGGACGAGGACCTGGAGGAGTTCCCAGTTGACAACTCTAGGGAGGGTTAGGGTTAGGGTTAGGGTTAGGGTTAGGGTTGGGGTTGGGGTTGGGGTGGGGGTTGGGGTTAGGGTTGGGGTTAGGGTTAGGAACGAGTCTGCCCCTGCGGCTTGATGGAGGTAGAAACTGTCTCTCATGCCTTGTTACGCTGCCGCTTCTACGGCATATACGCTCAGTATTTATTACCCCTGCTATGCAAAAATCTCCAAATGAATCCAAACTTCAATGTCTAAAAACCCTGGTAGAGGACAAGGATCCTGAGATCACATTAAGGGTAGCCAAATTCTGTGCGATTGCCATAAAACTTAGGGAACAAGCTGTGCTATCATAATGATTAAGGTCTTAAATGATAATTTTAGGTTATATGTTAGTGACTAAGTTTTAATTTATATATTTTTTAACTGTTGCTATATCTGTATTGTCCCTGTTATACCTAACTGCAAATCCAAATGTATCCCTATCGTGTTTTATGACTTCCTTGATCTTGTATGTGGGCTGGAACTGGTCTGTGACTGAAATAATAAAATTCAACCCTAGGGAGGGGCCCGGAGGATTGGGACGGCCTGGATCAGGGCCTCGAGAACCAGAGAAGTCACCCTGGGAGGAGCCAGGGAAGGTCCCAGCTGCATAGCTCCACCATACTCTACTCTGTCCCATCTTGCATCATCCAGGAGCTCTGTGCCCACTGCACCCCTGGCTCCCATGCCACCCGGTTGCAGCATCCACTCCGGCGCTGCCACCGCCCACTCCAGCCCATCCTCACAGGAGGAGATTGCCACTCGGTCTGGTTTTGAGCCACCTCTGTCACCTAGGTCACAGAGCTCCCAGTGCAGACGCCAACAGACAGCTCAGGTCCAGCCCTCCAGAAGGAGTTCCCGTTTGCTTGCCCAGTCCAAAGGGCAGCCCCACTTGTCATGCTGGAGTTGTGCCTTCCCCATTTCCACAAAACAGACTCCAAGGGGGCATGTGGCTTGTTGGATCAACATCTTAGCTTGCCTAGCCACGCACAGCCCCTCTTGTGCATTTGAACCCAGCTGTGCACCATACTGGGACGCGGGTGGCACTGTGGGTTAAACCACAGAGCTTAGGACTTGCCGATCAGAAGGTTGGCGGTTCGAATCCCCGCGACAGGGTGAGCTCCCATTGCTCGGTCCCTGCTCCTGCCAACTTAGCAGTTCGAAAGCACGTCAAAGTGCAAGTAGATAAATAGGCACCGCTCTGGTGGGAAGGTAAACGGCATTTCCGTGCTCTGCTCTGGTTCACCAGAAGTGGCTTAGTCATGCTGGCCACACGACCCAGAAGCTGTACGCCGGCTCCCTTGGCCAATAAAGCGAATGAGTGCCGCAACCCCAGAGTTGGCCACGACTGGACCCAATGGTCAGGGGTCCCTTTACCTTTACCTTGTGCACCGTACTGATGTGACAATTAAAGCTCTTGATTGGATTTATTGCATTTGCATCCCACCTTTCCTGCAAGAAGCTCAAGGTGGAGTATGTAGTTCGCCCCCCCCCCCAGTGTGTTTTATCCTCACACAACCATCATGTGAGACAGGCTAGGCAGAGAGGCTGGCAATGGTCCCAAATGTCACAAGTAGTGAGCTTCATGGCCAAGTGGGGATTCAAACCCTGTTCTCCCAGGTCTTATTCCGGCGCTATAACCAACCACTGCACCAAACTGGTATTCCAAGTCTGAGTTCTTCATCCTCCAGGGAGAGCCAGGGCAGTGTGCCTTTTGCTGCGGGCTCACTGGCCACGTTTGCACATTGCAGTAAGCCGTAAATCGAGCACAGGGAGCCTCTGGCTAGGGATGGGGAGGGATTTATTTCAGTTCTCGTTTAATTGTGAACCCTCCCAATTTGTACTTTCCGAAACAATGCAAGAACTGAAACCCAGCCAGCCTGCAAAATCTGTGCTTTTCTGAATTTTGCAATGCAATTCTCCAGCATGTACAAAAGTGCATATACTGTACTAAATGCATATATTAGTGAAAATAACATATATGAGGGGAATAGTGCTTTCCAAATTTGTGAATATTGGGGGAAATTGCATGGAAACGTTCATTTCCAGGATAAATTTATACTACAATTCTTGTGAATTGTCAGGAGAATTTCTTCTTTGAAAATTGCACAGATGTGTGAACGCTGGAAACTGAACATAAAATTGGGGAAATGAGATTCGTCCATTGCTGTCTCAAGCCCAGGAGACAATGTGGCCCTTCGAGACTCTCTACTTGGCCCTTCAGACTCTTCCCAGGCCACAGGCCTCACCAACCCTACTTTGCACCCTCCTTGAGTGTTTTTGCTGGGCTGGAATAGGTGCCCGATAATGCTCCTTGTTTGCTTGGATAGAGGCTAGAGATGGGTGTGAGAGGGTGAAAAAACTAGCCTGCTATGCAAATGTAAAATTTACATTTGTTGCTCTGCCCACTTTCGCCTCTGGCCCCGCCCACCATTGGGAAGTGGCCCCCTGGAAGGCTGCTCAGAATGAGGCCCTCAGGCTGAAGAAGCTTCCTCACCCTTGAGTTAGGGAACAGCAAGATACTAACCTACCTTTACAAATTGTAGAACAGATCTAGCGTGGAACCAGCTATCACCTTTCAAGGTTTTATTTCTCTCCTGCATATTCCTCTATATGTCAGAGCTTTTCAACTTTTTAAACAAAATGTTTTATTCTATTTTATTGAAGGTACAAACCAGCTTTCATCTGAGGATCACAGAGTGGCCTGGGGGGAAGAGGAATGTTTTTGCCTGGAGCCTAAATATATGTTAATGAAGGCCGCCAGGCGAACCTCCCTGGGGAGAGCATTCCACAAATGGGGAGCCACTACAGAAAAGACCCTTTCTTGTGTTGCCACCCTCCATACCTCTCATGGAAAGGACTTGTGAAGAAGGGTCTCAAATGATGGCTGCAGGGTGTAGGATGCTTCCTGTGGACAGCAGTGGCCTTTGAGGTACTGCGGTCTGGAGCCATTTAAGGCTTTATAGGTCCAAACCAGCACTTTGAATTGAGCCCAGAAACTAATTGGCAGCCAGTGCAGTCGGGCCAGGATTGGCGTAATATGCTCAAACCATCTTGCCCCCGTGAGCAACCCGGCTGGAGAATTCTGCACAGCTGAAGTTTCCAAACCGTCTTCAGAGGCAGCCCCACATAAAATGCATTGCAGTAATCCAGCCTGGAGGTTACCAGAGCACAGATGACAGAAGTTGGGCTATCCCTGTCCAGATAGGGGCATAGCTGGGCCACCAGCCGAAGCTGATGGAAGGTACCCTGTGGCATGGAAGCAAACCTTAGATTCAAGAGATTTAGTATCAGTCACTTCAGTTCGGTTTATTTGCTTAAAAGCCATTGTAGTCACAAAGTAATACAATGGGCTGACCATTGTGAAATGTTTGTGATTCTGAGTAATTATGCGAAGGATCGGTCTGTTCGTTCCTGTCGCTCCCTTTCTCCCCTGTCAGTCCTTGATGACTTAAGGCCAGCAGCCTTTAGGCTGCTGCAGACAGCAAAACTAAGCCGTTCGTTTCCCATCCAAGGGAACGAAAGCCACAGAGGTGAAAGAGGAAGTGTTGGGGAAAAGCTGTTCCATACATGCTGCCGCCATGTATGATATGCTTTATTTTTTATTATTATTTTGCTTAGCTATTTTACTTAGCAGTCAAAATTCAAATACTGCTTTTACCCCCTTGGATCTCCACCCCTGACTCAAGTCCAGTTTCAGGATAAAGAACCAAGATGAGAAGATTGGAAAACATTTATTGTATATATGTTGGGGGGGGGGGGAATCGTGTACACTTGAAAACATTGGCAGCATTAAGATAAATTCAACAGTGTGAATAAGTTTTGATGGATGTAATGATGGAATACTGAATGGTTTGGTTTTTGTAAAATATGCAGGGATTTCTGAGATGCAAAATGAGCCATGGAAAGAGAAGAAGGGAAGTCACTGATATTTTAAGGATGTTTACATGCATATTCTAAATTATATCTGTCTGTCTGTCTGTCTGTCTGTGAAGAACCTGAAGATAACTGCCCATGAGACTGCCTTACTTTACAGACTTCTTGATGCAGGGCTGCATAGGAACAGGGCCGGCCCGCCCATGAGGCAAGGTGAGGCGGTCACCTCAGGTGGCAGATATGGGCCTCAGGAGTGCGCCACCCACTGCCGCCACACCCCTGCCACCATCTCTGCTATGGGCATGTCCTGCCACTGCCGCAGGTGGTTCCTCCTGCCTCTCTACTATGGGCACACTTGCAGAAAAGCAGACGCTCTACCCTGAGTTCCCTTAGGACAATAGAGGACAATTATCTGTTGGAAGGGCTGTCCAGTCCAAAGGCAGTTTAAAGATGAAGATGAAAACTCTAAGGAGGGAGACTAGCAGAATTGCAGAATTATAGAACTGTTGAGTTGGGAAGTACCCGAAGTCCAAACCCGTGCAGTTCAGGAGTCACAGCTAAGGAAGACTGAAGCAGTTAGCAACTGGACAGCCAACTGAGCAGGCAACAGAGCTCACCTGGTTATGGTCATTCCTGCAATGGTGAAATGGATTGTGTTCATGTTTTAATTGTGAATCTCCACCTATATGTATAAATTGAAACATGCAGATTTTCTGTGACTTCTTTGCTCCTCGTTTTTTGGTGATATGTAAGTGCTAATTCTACCAGCACGGACCATTTCTTAGCAGTGAAAAGCCTGATAGAATTGAAAGAGGAAAAATAAATAAGTTAGGGTATGCAAACAAGAAGAAACAACCACCAGAACAAAAGGACTACAGAAGAACATATTTTCCTTAGAAAAATATATTGTCTGTTTGCTTCTATCTCTCAGCATGGAATGAAATGTATTCCTTCTGACAACACATATCTTTATGACCTTAGCAGATGGTTTTCGACCTTAAGGTCAGGCTCAAGCAAAAAACAAGATGAAGTATTGCTTGGTAATTAATGATCTTCAGTCAATAAACAATATTTGTTGATATATTAACTTTGGACAGCTAAGTAAGGAGGAGAGAGGCCATAGAAGATGGGGAAGTAATTATAAAATAAATTCCTCATTAAGACGTTTGTGGGGAAAGGTTTTGTTTTTAAACTATTAAAAGATGCCCCAGCGTCGTGTTTCTGTGTAGAACCCTGGAGAGAAGAGAAGCTGTTGGAATAAAATTGCTGCTTAAGACCGTCTAGCAAATTAGCATTGCTTAGTACATAATATGGTTTTGCTATTAATTAATAAGCCCAACGGAGCCTCGCTATCTGAGGTCATATTATCAGTAACTAATAGCAATGAAGGCTGAAAACTGTACAGTGCAATCGTATACTGTGGTACCTTGGGTTACAAATGCTTCGGGTTACAAACTCCGCTAACCTGGAAGTAGTTGCTCCAGGTTGCGAACTTTGCCCCAGGATGAGAATGGAAATCGTGCGCCAGCGGCACGAGGCCCCATTAACGAAAATGCGCCTCTAGTTAAGAACAGTTTCAGGTTAAGAACGGACCTCCGGAACAAATTAAGTTCATAACCTGAGGTACCACTGTACAGTGGTACCTCGGTTTAAGAACAACCCTGTTTATGAACTATTCGGTTTACAAACTACACAAAACCGGAAGTAGTGTCCCGGTTTGCGAACTTTACCTTGGTTTAAGAACAGAAGCCGGTTGGTGGAAGGGCACCGGCGGCAGGAGGCCTCATTAGGGAAAGCGCACCTCAGTTTAAGAACAGTTTCGGCTGAAGAACAGAATTCTGGAACGGATTAAGTTCATAAACCGAGGTACCACTGTATATGTTTGCTCAGAGGTAAGTTGCACTGAAAGTGTATAGGATTGCAGCCTTAAATGGTTATATAAATCATTTTTTAAAAAAAGTATTAATAAACTAAAAGGGTATCTCTCTTCAGGCTAGCTGAAGAGAGCATATGTGGCATTCCATTACCCTTCAGTGTTGACCGCCTGAGCCAGTCTCCTCACTCTGCCTAACGATAGGGCCGGACTCGGGTGTCTGAAGTTTGGAGGTACAAAACAGGGGCTCCATTTTCCTATCTCGGCTAATAGCCACCAATAGAGCTATCCTCCAGGAATGCATCATTGCTCATCTTCTCCTCCATCTTCCATTTGAGATTAAATTGCCGAGTGCTCACCACAATGAGGCCCTTCCGTTTCCTTCCCACGCTGAAGGTAGCACTTGAGGCTGCTGTAACAGAGGCACATAAAAATCCCTTCTTTTATTCTGAACAGGCAACGACTTGACAAAGACATAGCTCTTTTGAACAAGATTACAATAAAGTTTTTAAAAATACAATAAAATGTAATTTATATCCTCGGCCCATTTGTTAGGCCATATGACAATCATTCCTTTCTCTTGACAGATCTAAACCTCTGCTTAACACATTGCAATCGTAAATATTACCAGCTACAACATAGCAATTTAATACTTACCAAATGTATTTCTAAAATATTACTGCAGATTTAAAACCTTGAATTTTAACCAGATGTGTTTCCAGCAAGTTGGCTCAGGCTAGACAGACATCTTCTGGTTTTTTTTTCCCCTCCTTGTTCTCTCGCTGTTAAAATTGGAACATTGCCACACAATGTATTAGGCTTAAGACTGCGTGATCCCATTCTTAACAACCCGGATCCATAAGGCCTAACAGGGCAGGGGGGATGTTGGGAGAGGAAATCTACATCAAGGGTGCTCCAGTGATTTGCAGGCTCTCCAGGGGTACCTACCCTATGCCTAGATTGGTGGTGTGTGCCAAACTTATACAGTCATACCTTGGTTTTCTAACAGCTTAGTTCTCGAACGTTTTGCCTCCCAAACGCCGCAAACCTGGAAGTGACTGTTCTGGTTTGCAAACTATTTTCGGAAGCCGAATGTCCGACGGGGCTTCCATGGCTACCGCGCTTTGGTTTCCGAACGTTTTGGAAGTTGAATGGACTTCCAGAATGGATTCTGTTTGACTTATCTTGTATCGGAGAAGGCCTGTCAATCTGTGAACTGCAAAGCCTTCCCCGATATTTCCATTGATATCTCTGGCTCACTAAAGAAGTATCCCTAAACACTTTCATGTACTTTGGATAAGGGTATGATTTATTGGAAGTTTAATCTTTGCATCCTAGGATAGGGGCTCTACTTATGCAGTGCCCCCCCACAGAGCCAAATACCCCTTACTATTTCTGCAGCAGGGACCCAACCTCTGGCACCCTCGAGCTGTGAGATCAGCTACATCCCCTTGATCATTTTGGTTGCCCATTCCTGGGCCTTTCCCAATGACCTCCTTTTGGAAACACAGAAACACAGAATTGTAAAGTTGGAAGAGATCTCGAAGGGTCATCAAGTCCAACCACTGGAATGCAGGAATCTCAACGAAAGCATCCATGACAGATGGCCATCCAGCCTCTGCTTAAAAACCTCCAAGGAGGGAGAGTCCACCACCTCCCGAGGGAGTCTGTTCCACTGTCGAACAGCTCCTACTGTCAGAAAGTTCTTTCTGATGTTTAGTCGGAATCGCCTTCCTTGTAATTTGAATCCATTTTGTCTTACCCTTCAGAGCAGGAGAAAACAAGCTTGCTCCATATTCCATGTGGCAGCCCTTTAGATATTTGAATATAGCTATCCTATCTCCTCTCAGTCTCCTCTTTTCCAGGCTAAACATACCCAGCTCCCTCAACCGTTCCTCATAAGGCTTGGTTTCCGGACCCTTGAACATCTCGGAGCTCTTTGCAATCCTCTTTTTATTTAAGTGCCCTGAACAATTTAGTATCATCAACAAACTTATCACTGCACCTGCACAGCCTACACAGCCAAAATATACTATATATATATATGGCTGTGGTCCAGGGGTGGCTTACCTGTTTCCCTCCAGACGTTGTTAGAATTTAATTCCATCATCTCAGACCATTGGTCATGCCGGCTGTGAGTGATGGGAGTTGGAGTCTAACCGCATGGGGAAGGCCACAGGTTCCCCATCCCTGCTCTAGTTTACTTAGCAGATTTAGCGTGAAGGAAGCTGGCGATGGAGGCTGAACACAATGCCTTAGTAATGGAGTTTGATATACAGCTGCAGAAACCTTTGCCATGATTTTAAACGCACTGATTCGGTGGAAAGGTTGGTATTGATTTCACTAGCAATGTGTATGAATAATCTCTTTTTGAAAGTTGCCTAAATAAAAAGCAGAGGGCTTGAATTTGCTGGAGTGCCTATTTATACATTTTCTTTGAGGCATGGCTTAGAGCAAAGACCGGATGGGGTGGGAATGGGGGTGGTTCATACATTAAATATATATAAATATATATGAGGCTACTGCTCAATCCTCACTTCCCTGGAATTTCCTTTATACAAATAGGTACATAAATTCTTCAGCACACAACACACTTCAAAATATAATCCTACAGAGTTTGTCCTGTGGAAGTCAATGAACCATATTTATTTCTCTTATAGCCCACCCAATCCCAGGACCTCACAAGAGATACAGTGGTACCTCAGGTTAAGTACTTAATTCGTTCCGGAGGTCCGTACATAACCTGAAACTGTTCTTAACCTGAAGCACCACTTTAGCTAATGGGGCTTCCTGCTGCTGCCGCGCCACTGGAGCACGATTTCTGTTCTTATCCTGAAGCAAAGTTCTTAACCTGAAGCACTATTTCTGGGTTAGCAGAGTCTGTAACCTGAAGCGTATGTAATCTGAAGCATATGTAACCTGAGGTACCACTGTATTTATTTTATTTACAGAGTGCCATCTGTTTACATCCAGATGTTGCTGGATTGCATCTCTCATTGTCCCCAATTATTGACCATGCTGACTGGGGTTGATGGAGGAAGTTGGAGTCCAATACATCTGCAGAGCCACATCATCCCCAGTATAAATCAGGGAGGATGCTTGAATGCATGTGTTAAATATGCACATGTGTGGGTGGGTGTTAAGTGGTGTTGGGATGCTTGGGTGCCTTATTGCGTGTTAAGATTGTGTGATTGTCTGCAATCTGGTTCTGGCCACTTTGGGGTGGGGTTTAGATGCTCTATCCACTACACCACACAACCCACACTTACAAAACATACACATTTTTCAGAACTGCAAATCATCAAAATCCTGTAACTTTCTTGTTCTTAGGGAAGAGGAGGGCAACCAAGGTGATCAAGAGCCTGGAAACCAAGCATTAGGAACGGCTGAGGAAGTTGGGCATGTTTCGCCTGGAAAAGAGGAGACTGAGAGGAGATACGATAGCCACCTTCAAATATCTCAAGGATGCAAAATGGAAGATGGAGCAAGTTTGTTTTCTCCTGGGACCTGAACCAATGGCTTCAAGTTACACAAAAGGAGAGTCCAACTAAACATCAAGAAGAACTTTCTGGTGGAGCTGTTCAACAGTGGACCAGACTCCCACAAGAGCTGGTGGACTCTCCTTCCATGGAGGTTTTTAAGCAGAGGTTGGATGGCCATCTGCCATGGATGCCTTAGTTAAGATTCCTGCATTCCAGGGGGTTGGACTGGATGACACTCAGGATCCCTTCTAAGTCACAGTGCAGGCCCCCACACACTCAGTATATGTACAAAAGACTTCTGAGATCTGTACATATTACCTAATTATCATTGTCCTAGACTTCCAGAAAAAAATTACTTTCCTGGTTCTGGGAAATTGATCATGGAGTTCTTGTGGGGCTTTTAAAACTACCCTTGTCAGATAGAACACTGCTGTGTGCTGATATTTTATGTTGTTCAAGGATTTTGTTCAAAATTGTCAAGAATATATTATTACATTGTTGTTGTTGTTTTAAAAAAGCGCCCTGTTAAATGCAAATAATGGCTTTAAAATGTTAATTCATTTTCAACCTGATTCTGCGCACTGTGACCCACAAGCAAGCCCCGATAAATTCACATGGTGTATTACTCCCAGGAAAATGTGCATAGGATCGTGTTGTTTAGCATAAAACGCTGCGCTTTAACTTGTTCTCCCTGCTCCTAACCTGTCACCCTACTCTGTGTGTTGCAGTCTCTTGTACTTTTAAGTGTTTCTTGATCTAGACTGAAGGTCTACCAGTCAGAAAAGAATCCTCGCCCAAACATCAGACCCAGTTGCCTCTTTATAAATGCAGAGATGATAATGGGGTGTTGTTGTTGTTGTTGTTTTCTCCCAGGTTGCAATCAGATAACAACATCCCACTTCTGTCTTTAACTGATTTCTCTTCATTCCTTAGGTTTCATGACTTTCAGGTCTGAATCACATTGAGAGATCTCACTGCTTGCAATTAGATAATTCCCAGAATTTAGGAATATTTGATAGATGATCATCCTGTCTCATCTTAAAAGCCTCCAGGAAAACAGATCCTGCGGTTTTTCCTGGATATATTCCATTGCTCAACATCCTTATACAGCCCCAAAGCATTTCCTAGTATTGGTCATGGATCTATGCTGTTGCATCATAAGGCAGAAGAATCCTGTGGCATAGCCCTCCTTTAGCACTCCTGAAATCTGCTGAACACTTGCATTGTAGGAGGCTCCCCATGTCAAAAAGGGAGGTGAGTATGAGCTTAGCTTTAGGGCAGTGGTAGGCAACCTAAGGCCCGGATGTGGCCCATTCACCTTCTCAATCCGGCCCGTGGATGGTCCGGGAATCAGCGTGTTTTTACATGAGTAGAATGTGTCCTTTTATTTAAAATGCACCACTGGGTTATTTGTGGGGCCTGCTTCGTGCTTTTACATGAGTAGAATATGTGCTTTTATTAAAATGCATTATTTGTGGGGCATAGGAATTCTTTCATTTGTTTTCCAAAATATAGTCCGGTCCACCACGTGGTCTTAGGGACGGTGGACCGGCCCATGGCTGAAAAAGGTTGCTGACCCCTGCTTTATGGGCATAGGGACACAGGAAACTGCCTTATACCGAGTCAGACCACTGATCTATCTAGCTCAGCATCATTGAACCTGACTGGCAGCAGCGATCCAGGATACCAGACCAAGATCTCTCCCATCCCTAGCTGCAGATGCCCAGGACTGAACCTCGGAGCTTCTGCATAGACATAGAAGGAAATTCCTGCACTGAGGAGGAATTTGGATTGAATGTGTGGCAGAGCTGTGGCTCTCCAGTTTTTGTTGAGCTCCAACTCTCATCAGCCTCAGCTAGCAACTGCAAGGGCGGTGGTCAAGGGTGGTGGGAGTTGTATCCAACATCTAGAGGTCCCTGGACCAGAGATGGAGTGGTCTGAGGTAGTGGGGAGCTGAAGACCTACTGCTATTTCTGCAGCAGGATCCCAATCTTCAGAGCCACCCAGTCAGCATGGAAGGGGAGCATTTTAGCCACAGAGAAGAGGTCTTCTCACCCTTTGTGCTGACTGGAGCCAATCGGAGTGAAAGGAGGTGAGGAGACAGGCTCCCAGGGTCACTCTGGAGAAGGAGTGCAGGAAGAGCACCAAGGAGATGTTCTGTATGCTCCAAAACTAAGCATTTAGGAACACAGAAAGCACAAGGAGCTTGAGTTTCAAGAGAATGGGGTGCAAGCTTTGTGGCGTACAATGGAACTTAAGGGAAAACATAACCTCAAGTAACTCAGAAATAAGATATCGGAGCTCCCCGAAACACTTGCACATGAACATGCCCAGAAAATGGTAGGTAAAGGTAAAGGGACCCCTGACCATTAGGTCCAGTCGTGGCTGACTCTGGGGTTGCGGCGCTCATCTCGCTTTATTGGCCGAGGGAGCTGGCGTGCAGCTTCCGGGTCATGTGGCCAGCATGACTAAGCCGCTTCTGGTGAACCAGAGCAGCGCATGGAAATGCCGTTTACCTTCCCACCGGAGCGGTACCTATTTATCTACTTGCACTTTGACGTGCTTTCGAACTGCTAGGTTGGCAGGAGCAGGGACCGAGCAACGGGAGCTCACCCCGTCATGGGGATTCGAACTCCCGACCTTCTGATTGGCAAGTCCTAGGCTCTGTGGTTTAACCCACAGCGCCACCTGCGTCCCAGAAAATGGTAGATCCAGCTAAAAGGCAAACACATGGCAATCAGCACTGATCCTTGCAATGCATCCTCAAATGTTGTTATTGCATAATTCTAAGACTGTTGTATAGAAGGTTGCATAATTTTAGAAGGGGGTGTGATTGTGAGGGCCTGTGTCTATCATGAAGGGATCCTGAATTTGCAACAACACTACTGCCCTGAACTAAAGGACTTCCAAGTTTCTATCCAGTTCTAAAATGCTGTGATGCCATGTGATTTCTTACACACATTCTGAAGTGGTCCAGACCCTGTGTGACCCTAGTTCCCTTGCCCCTTGTTTAGTCTGCGTTGCCATAACTTAATGAAAATATACATTCCTGTGTGATAAAAATGAATGTATTGCCGAGAATGTTGTTTTTATTTCAGACATTGCAAATTGTGGACAAGATGGACTGTTTTAAGAAGTGGCAGAGAGATATTTCTAGATTTGTCTGGCAGGGCAAGAAGCCCAGAATAAAATTTAAGATACTAACAAATGCAAAGGAAAGGGGTGGATTTGCCCTGCCAGACCTTAAACTTTACTATGAATCAGCAGCTTTTTGCTGGCTGAAAGAATGGCTACTTCTTGAAAACACAGACATTTTGGATTTAGAAGGTTTTAACAATGTATTTGGATGGCATGCATATTTATGGTATGATAAGGTCAAAGCACACAAAGCATTCAAAAATCATATTGTCAGGAAAGCATTGTTTAATGTCTGGATAAGATATAAAGATTTATTGGAAAATAAAACCCCAAGGTGGCTGTCACCAATGGAAGCAAAAGCGCTGAAAAGGCTCAATATGGAGGCCAAATGGCCGACATATTGGGAAATTTTGGAACAAGAAGGAGATAAATTGAGATTGCAGAGTTTCGAAAAACTAAAAAACAAAGTGAGAGATTGGCTCCATTACTATCAGATAATGGAGGCATATAATTTGGATAAGAAAATTGGCTTCCAGGTGGAAAAGTCAAAATTAGAAACAGAACTGCTAGAACCCAAAACTAAGAATCTGTCA